CCATTGCACTCCAGCCTGGGCAACAGAGTGAGACCTTGTCTCAAAAAAAGAAAAAGAAAAAGAAAATGTTTCATATTTTGGCAATTTTGATTTACGAAAGATTTCCCTTTTGAGGTTACTGTTCTGATTTTATAACTAATCCCTATGTGTTCCCTCTGAGTTTAAGAAATTGTATCCAATATCCTTGATTCTCCCTTAAAGATTCTGCTGTTTTCCTGGTTCTCTGGTCCCTTCTTCACTCTGAAAGTAAAGAGTAGGACCTGAGATATCCCAGGATGTTTCTCTTCATCTCCCCAGCCCATATAGTTGGAGATTGTGCTCAAAGATTTGCCAAAATAGAGATTTTACACCAAGCCTGTCCAACCTGCAGCCCTCGGGCCACATGCGGCCCGGTAGCTTTGAATGTAGCCCAACACAAATTCATAAGCTTTCCTAAAACAGTAAGAGATTATTTTGTGTGTGATTTTTTTTTTTTTTTTAGCTTATTGGCTCTCATTAATGTTAGTGTATTTTATGTGTGGCCGAAGACAATTCCTCTTCTTCCAGTGTGGCCCAGGAAAGCCAAAAGATTGAACACCCCTGTTTTACACATCCTGTTGTGACAACCCTAGGTTTCCTGTCATTTATTTTCTCTTTCTTTCCTTCTTTCTTTCTTTCTTCCTTTCTTCCCCCTCCCCCTATTTTTTTTCTGAGGCGGAGTTTTGCACTTGTTGCCCAGGATGGAGTGCAGTGGTGTGATCTTGGCTCACTGCCGCCCTCACCTCCCAGGTTCAAGCGATTCTCCTGCCTCGGCCTCCTGAGTAGCTGGGATTACAGTCATGGGCTACCACACCCAGGTAATTTTGTATTTTTAGTAGAGATGGGGTTTCACCACGTTGGCCATGGCTTGTCTCAAACTCCTGACCTCGGATGATCTGCCCACCTCGGCCTCCCACCGCACCCGGCCTCTTTTCTTTTTTTAAGAGACAGTGTCAGCCAGGTGCGGTGGCTCACGCCTGTGATCCCAGCACTTTGGGAGGCTGAGACAGGCAGATCACGAGGTCAGGAGATGGAGACCATCCTGGCTAACACGGTGAAACCCTGTCTCTACTAAAAATACAAAAAATTAGCTGGGCATGGTGGTGGGCGCCTGTAGTCCCAGCTACTCAGGAGGCTGAGGCAGGAGAACGGCCTGAAGCCCGGAGGCGGAGCTTGCAGTGAACCGAGATCGCGCCACTGCACTCCAGCCTGGGCTATAGAGCGAGACTCCGTCTCAAAAGAAAAAAGAGACAGTATCTTGCACTGTCGCCCAGGCTGGAGTGCAGTAGCAGGATCACAATTCACTGCAACCTCAAACTCCTGGGCTCAAGCAGTCCTTCCCGTCAGCCTCCTGTGAAGCTGGGACCACAGGTGCATACTACCATACCCAGGTAATTTTTTTATTTTTTATTTGTAGACACTGGGCTTCGCTATGTTGCCCAAGCTGGTCCTGAACTCCTGGCTTCAAGCAATTCTTCCACCTCAGCCTTCCAAGTGCTGGGATTGCAAGAATGAGCCACTGCTCCTGACCTGCTTTTCCTTTTCTCTGTTGTCCTCTGTACTTCTCATGTGTTTGAAGTATACGCTCTGGCTTTCTCCATTTGTTTAATTTCTCTGAAATTAACATGCTTTGTACTTGAGTTAACTCATCTATAAAAGAGACATAACTCATCTGTAAAATAGGTGTAATAACGAAGCAATGGGAGAATCAAGGGAGCATGCAGGTAAGGACTTTTGGAAAACAACAAAAAAGATTGAATTGTGAAAAGGTGTTACTCATAATCAATTCCAATGTAATGAAAATATAGCAAAAACATTAATATATTTATGTCCTTTATTTCAAGCTATTTTTTCCATTATTTTAAAAATTATCTTTCTATTTTTATAAAAATATTTATTTAATAAATAATAAATAATTATTCTTTTCTTTTTTCTGTATGTAGACTGGAGTAATATTCTTTTTTTTTTTTTTTTTTTGAGATAGAGTTTCACTTTGTTGCCTGGGTTGGAGTGCGGTGGCATGATCTCAGGTCACTGCTACCTCCACCTCCCAGTTTTAAGTGATTCTCCTGCCTCAGCCTCCTGCATAGCTGGGACTACAGGTACATGCCACCACACCTGGCTAATTTTTGTATTTTTAGTAGAGATGGGGTTTCACCATGTTGGCCAGGCTGGTCTCGAACTCCTGACCTCAAGTGATCCACCCATCTCAGGCTCTCAATGTGCTAAGATTATAGGTGTGAGCCCCGGCTCCCGGCTGTAATATCCATCCTTTTTTTGTTGTTGTTGAGACAGAGTCTCGCTCTGTAGCCCAGGCTGGAGTGCAGTGGCCGGATCTCAGCTCACTGCAAGCTCCTCCTCCCGGGTCCACACCATTCTCCTGCCTTAGCCTCCGGAGTAGCGGGGACTACAGGTGCCCGCCACCTCGCCCAGCTAGTTTTTTTTTTTTTTGTATTTTTCAGTAGAGACGGGGTTTCACCGTGTTAGCCAGGATGGTCTCGATCTCCTGACCTCGTGATCCACCCGTCTCGGCCTCCCAAAGTGCTGGGATTACAGGCTTGAGCCACCGCGCCCGGCCCCATATCCATTCTTAATCACTATTTTTGATGAAGCAATTTTATTATTAAAAAACTTGGTGCACTTTAAATGTTTTCCTGGTGTTAGGTATGATAGGATTTGCCATGTATCTTTCACCCTTTTAGTTACCCCATGGGTTGTTTTGTGAACCTGCCTCACATTTTCTGTGCATGTCCTTGAATGTTGTAGAATCATAGGAGGGTCAAGAGTAGGTTCTCAAGAGCTTCCCCATGTACCACCATTCAATTCAATGCTAGCCTTTCCCCACGGAGTGGAGGCCTTTGGACTTCTCTTGCCACCAGAGTGGACTTAGGGAACAGGCAGTTGGCATTTGAGGTCTTCATGTTAAACTCAGAGCCTAGCATTCCCTTGAGCAAGCCACCTTCTCCCCTGTGCCTCCCATTTTTTTCCCTAAGGTAAAGTGAGTGCTCCTAAGTCTGTGGAGGTGCTCCCCTGCTGTTTTCTCCAGGGTCCTCAGAGCCCCCCCCCTTTTTTTTCTGTAGTAGGCTGACAGATCAAATGGTCCCAAGGGTGCCTGGGACCAGCCTCAGAGCTGTGGTTGCAGCTGTGAACCCAGGCTGTGTCAGAGGAAGCTTGGCTTAAGTATAAACTTAGCAGAACTCAAGGTCCAGTCACCTGTGGAAGAGAGGTGAAACTCGAAATGCAGTGCCTGCTCCCTCTCCCTCCTGAGATATCGAAACCCAACTTGGTGTTGAAATTTGAGATGGTACAATGGGAGTGAGTGTAGTTTAAGGAGAGTTGTATCTGCGCTGCATAGATTTGGGGGCCTGATGCAGTGGTCCAGACAGACCTGAAATCTGATTCCAGTGGGATGTCTGGGAAAGTGGCTAAACCTCTTAGCTCGTTCCCACCTATAAAATGAGGAGAGCGAAACCTACCAAATGAGAAGAGAGAAGCCTACCAAATAAGATTCTTTCAAGCATTTAAGTGATGCAGCACTCAATCAATACCAGCTTCTGTGTGTTCACTCTAATTTCTATATCCATGGACTAGAGAAGATAGGATGGGGGCTTGATGGATGCGGGGGGGGGGGGGTCACAAAGGAATGATTACCGGAAGGTGATAAGAGCTATATCTGTACACCATGGCTAAGCTGTGACAAGAAAGCAGAGAGGTGTAAATGCCAGAGTAGGAGGTGAGAAGCACGGAGATTGGGGGAAAAGCCAGGGCCAGAAATGAAATGTCCCTGTCCTGTGTGTCATGCTCCTGGAAGCTGGGCCTCCAGCTGGGCATGGCCTCCAGCTTTTCATGTGAGCTTCCCGTTTTAGGATGGGGATCCACAGAGCTAGCAACTTTGCTGAGCTAGATACTAGCAAGAGTCCTAGAAGCAGGTCCCATTATGAAGCCAGATGGGAGTAGGTTCTGGCATAGCCATGCTGTTCCGTGTTCCAGAGGTATCCAGAGTCCAAGGGGTGGTCTGCGCCCCGCTCCTCCATCACTCTCTCCTTTGTATACTTGTCCCTCCAAGGAGATGGTTAACTCCCTTGGGAGCAGGGAATTATCTGTCACCCCTCTTCTTGTGTCTAGTGTAGTGCTCTGAACAATGAGTTTCAGTTAATTAAGCAAACATAAATGTATTATTCTGGAGCACAGTGTCTTCCTCTGCTCATTATATGATGCCACTGATCAAGAAGTTCTTTCCAAGGAAGTCCAGACAGCTCCTGGGGAGAACAAAGTGTCAGATGTGAGAGGGCAGGTCCTATAGGATTGTTGCTTCCTGCCACAGAGTACCTATGCTAAAACATGTAAAAAAAATTAGGGCAGTGTGGTTATTACCATTTTACAGTTGAAGAAAGTGAGGTTCAGCCGGGTCACAGCTTGTACATGGACTCCTGGGTGCAGTGCAGTCTTGGGTGCAGTGCTCTTTCCACTTCCTTGACCCAGAGGTCGGCTTCCTGCCCATAAGCCAGGCCCTGCAGCTGGATGCCCATTCCTCAGAAGCGGCCCTTTGTCCCACCCTCCATCAGTCTGCATTCCCATCCTGAGCACTTACTGTGTACCAGAACATTTCCAGACTCTGGTGCTGGCTGTGAGAGGGCAGAGAGCAAGGTGAACACGGATCAGATTCCCCCAACGGGCGGAGGTGATGGGGATTAGTTTATGGAAGTCCTTTGGTGCCTAGCACTTGGCTGGACACTGTAAAAATGCCTCTGTTAGCCTGGGCAACCTAGCGACACCCAGTCTCTCGGGGGCGGGGGGCGGGAAGCCAAGCATGAAGGCGTGTGCCTGTGGTCCCAGCTTCTGGGGAGGCTGAGGCTTGAGCCCAGCCCTGGAGGTTGAGTTTGCAGTGAGCCGTGATCGCGCCACCGCACTCCAACCTGCACGATACTGCCAGATCCTGTCTCAGAAAAAAGAAAAAGAAAAGAAAAAAAAAAAAGGCTGCTACCCGGGAGGAGAACTCCTCGCCCAACCTCTACCCTCATGAAGAGAGGCTCAGAGGGCTGAGAAAGCCCTGGGACAGTGGCAAGGCAGGGCCAGGGGAAGCAGCTTTGCCGCCAGGGCCCGGCTCCTGTTTGCCTTGTGCCCGGTCCTTAGCCTGAAGGTGGTGGGCTTCAGCCAGAAGCCCCTGGCGGAAGCGGTGCCCGCGTGCGGTTCAGAGTGTGGGTGTGCAGGTCTATGGACGACCCAAAAGGGGTGCCCCTGCCCGGTAACCTAGCGTGAGGGTGAGGGTGGGGAGGGCGGCGGGCACGCAGCACGGCTTGGCTGCTCAGGGCAGGCTCCGCCCCCAGGGGCGCGGGTTTAAAAGGAGCGAAGGCAGCCCGGGAGCCGAGCGGCCGGGAAGCGCGCCGGCACGGAGCTGCTGCCCTGGCACAGCCATGGCCCGGCGGGTGGGGGGTGCTCGGCTGCTCAGCAGCCTACTGCTCTTCGCCCTGCTCGCTGCCGATGTCGCCCCGCTCAGCTGGGATCTCCCGGAGCCCCGCAACCGAGCCGGCAAGATCCGAGTGCACCCGCGGGGCAACCTCTGGGCCACCGGTAAGTCTTCGCGGACCGGGCAAGCAAGTGCCCCTCATCCTACTCAGATCCCATTTCCTTTTCAACCCTCCGGCCGCTCCTCAGCCGCGGACACTAGTGTCGGAGCAGGTGGGAAACCCTGGGGCTCATCTAATTTAATAGATGTGAACTTGAGACCTGGACAGGTCAGTGACTTGGCTAAGGTCGCACAGCCAGTTTAAGACAGGGCTGGGCTAGATCCTAAATCCCACTGCCAGCCGGTGCCCCTTACCTTAGGCAAGACTTTACCGAATCTTCTAACCGCTGATGTGGTTTTGATGCACCTCCACTATCCAGGCATCTCTTCACTCTCCACTTCCTACCCTACCCTTTCTCGTCCCTTGTCCAAGCAGGCCACACAACTAACAGAGTTTCTCCCTGACCCTGGACCATCCCACCCTCCTTCCAGCTGTGTCATCCTCTCTACCTGTTCAGGAAAAGCTGAGGGAGCAGGCTTTGCCACCACCCAGACACCTTTGTGGCTCCTTGGTGAGGTGGAAGGACCAAGAACAGGAAGGTTAAGTATCTTCCTGCCACAAGAATGGAAACGTGGGAGAGATGAGGAACTTTCCCTCTGAGGTAGGATCCTCCCTGCTTGACTTCTTGTGTGGGACACCTCCTTTCTAGGTCACTTCATGGGCAAGAAGAGTCTGGAGCCTCCCAGCCCATCCCCATTGGGGACAGCTCCCCACACCTCCCTGAGGCACCAGAGACTGCAGCTGAGTCATGATCTGCTCAGGATCCTCCTGCTAAAGAAGGCTCTGGGCGTGAGCCTCAGCCACCCCGCACCCCACATCTAGGTGAGCCAGCCCCCCACTCCAGTGTCAGGAGGGCCCAGCTGGGGCCATCCCTGGATCCTGCATGGGAGGAATTACCACCCAGTACTGTATTAGGGTGTGACTGTCTGACCAGGACATTATGGGTGTGGACCCCAGAAAGCCAGGGTTCCAGGCTTTTCCCTCTTGAGGCAGAGCTCAAAGGAGGAACAGTCCAAAGAAAGTAAGCTGACCTTCCTGGCAGACCCCATGGGGGCAAGAAGTAGGGAAAGAAGTTCCCCTGACTCATCACCCAGTCTAAAGTAACAGACTGGGATCATCAGCCTTTTGGAGAAAGACCTTTCTCCCTCAGTCCACACAGTCTTGTCCCACCCGTGCTGTTCCCCGCTTCAAGTCCACCTTTGCCGTGCCCTGTGTGTGCTTGTGGCTGAACTGGGACCCTGAGGCCCAGAAAGAGAAAGAGAAGTCAGTAGCCAAGACAGAGTCTGGACCTTGTTCACCTTAACCAGAGCTCTTCCCATTCTCTCATCTGCCTCAGTATCCAGTGGCAGGGTTTAGCAGCTTCAGTGCGTTTGACATTCTAGGCTGGATCATTCTTTCTTGTGAGGGCTGACCTGTGCATCATGGGATGTTTAGTGGCATCCCTGGTATCTACCCACTAGATGCCAGTAGCACCTTCCCCCCCATCAAGTTGTGACAACTGAAAAGTCCTCCAGACATCACCAGATGTCTGCTGGGGGAGAGGGCCCCAAATCATTATTGGTTGTCAATCACTGATCTATGGGATTCAAGGCTCCAAAGCTGGAGAGCCAAACCAGCCTTAAGGTCTAGCCCAGCTGAGTGGCAACTCCTCCATTCCCTGCTCCTGGTGCTGTCCTTACTGCACACCACCCTTCCTGGCCCTGCTGTTCTGTGCAGAAGGCAGTGTGATGTGGTAGAATGTGGGTTCTGACTACAACGTGCTGGGCTCATAACCTAGCTACTTCGTAGCTCTGTGACCTTATAAATGTCCCTTAACTTCTCTAAAGCCTCATATTCCTCACCCACAAAATGAAGATAATAATAAGGCCCATCTCCCATTAAATGAGACCATTTATGTCAAATGCTCAGCACGGTGCCTGGCTCATAGGCAGCCCTTAGTAGATAGGAGCTCTTACCAGTCTGTGAGCTCCCTGGCAGCACCTGTTGTGGACTTGCCTTCATATCCCCCACTGTGCCTACAATATAGTGTGTGCATTTTGAAAGGAGAGGCATTCCCTAGAAAAGGTCCAACCTAGCCTCAACTGACATCCCTGACTTCCTGAGGCATAGAACCAGCAGCCCCTAAGGACCTCAGGTGTAAGGCCTAGGAGCTTGGGCTGGCTGACTCTGAAGGGAAACAATGTCACCTCTAGTGCCCTTGGTTTTGAAGCTCGGACACATGCAGACCAACTAGAGAATCTCAGAAGCAGCAGTGCCTAGGTCTGGGGCTTCAGAGTGAGGTCTGGGGCAGAGTTGGGGTGGGGGAGTGAGGACACTGACACTAGCCCAGCAGCAGGCACTGTACTTGAATTTACTTCCATGATCTCCTTTGACTGTCATGACAACCCTGGGTGTTGGGGCTGTGTTCTGAGAAAACTATTGCCCCTGACCCCTCCAAGGCAATTCAGGGTGCTCTGCCTCAGCTGACAGCCTGCCGGTGCCCACCTCTGCAGACATCTGGCACTTAGGAATGGCAGGATGCCCCTATCATTATCAGGAGTCCCTCCCTGACTCAATTCTTCTGTATGTTTCTCTTCAGTACAGGAGGCTGCTGGTACAAATAGTGCTGAAATGATACCAATAATGGGACAGACACAACAGCGTGGCTTAGATTGTGCCCACCCAGGGAAGGTGCTGAATGGGACCCTGGTGATGGCCCCATCTGGATGTAAATCCTGAGCCCAATATCTGTTACTCCATTACTGTGATTTCTGGTTGGGTCACCAGAAATATCGCTGATGCAGACACAGATTATGTTCCTGCTGTATTTCCTGCTTCCATGTTGAATTTGTGAATAAAACCTTGCTCTTTACATATAATGCCTAGTCCTCTCCTTCCACCCATCTTTTAGGGGCTAGGAGGGAATGGGGGCTGGCAGAGTGTTCAGTGAGATGGGGCTGGCTCCAAAAAGTCCACAATACTCCATGCCATGGCACCAGCCTGCCACTGACTTTGGACTCCTACTCCTCCACTCATTCAGCAAGCAAATAACGCCTGTTGTATGCCAGGTTTCGTGCCAGGCGCCGGGTTCTACTCTCACCTCTGCCACCCACTGCCGCAGGCAAGTGTCACTAGTTTCTTTGCTAGTAAAAGGGGGCTGCAGACACTACACTGCCGGGCTTGACTCAATCCTCCCGCCGGGCTTGGAGCGGAGCGCCGAGTTGGGATCCAGACCCTGCCGGCCGCCTACTCTCTTCTCTGGCCGTCAGTAGGGTTGCCAGCGTTAGCAAATAAAAATACTGGACACCCAGTTAAATTCGAATTTCAGATAAACATTAATTTTATCTAATAAAATGTACCAAATATTGCATGAACATACTCGTAGGAAAAAAATTATTCACCGTTTTTCTGAAATTCGAATTTAACCGGGCGGTCCTGTATTATTTCTGGCCTTGGAGCATTGATTGCCCCTCTCTTGGGCTGCAAACACCCGGCCTTAAAACGGGCGATCATTTGGTCCTCAAGGCCTGCTCGGAGCTGACAGCCGGGAAGTCCCGATTTCAGGTCACTTTCCCGTAGCTTTCGCAAAGAAAACCCGTAACCCACCCAGGCTGGGGCGCAGCTCTGCCTCTTGACCCCGCCCTTAACGGGAGGCCCTGCCCACATGTCGCGAGAGCCGCGCGGCCCCGAAGGCTCTGAGGCGGAAGTGAGACGCCGGAAGCGGCCGTTGCCATGGATCCTGAGGAGGACTGGCTGGTGGAATCCTTGCGCTTGTAAATCATGCGGGGCTGGGAGACGGGAGCTGGGCTCGAATCTGGCCTGGCGGGCGGATGGGTGCAGGTGGAGGCACGTTGGAGATCCTGGTGCACAGTGGGCCAGCTGTGGCCTCCGGGCTCGCGGCGGCGGAGGACTCCGCCTGGGCCTAGGCCCCCGTCTTTAGGAAATGGCTCCTTCCTGCGTGCGCGTGTTGTGAGATTACTAGTAAGAGCCGGGCTTGTGAAGAAGCAGTGCCCAGTTAGTTTGCGCCAGCCTCTGAGTTCAGCTCAGAACACAAATGACCTCATTGATTTTCATGTCAACCTTGGGAGTTCAGTTCTGAGTTCAGCTCAGAACACAGATGACCTCATTGATTCCTCATGTCAACCTTGGGAAATCTGGGTACCCTGGGAGGTCCACACATGAGGACAGAGTCTCAGGGACATCAACAGACTGGCCTGGTCCCAGAAACAGGGAGTAAAATGCGAAGCAAACTCGGTCCCACGTCTTCCTGACTCCAGAGCTTGGGCCACTGAACCATGCGGCTGCCATCTTGGAGTTATCTGAGCTGTGAAGTGCTGTGCATCCTGTGATTTTATGTCCCTTTTGTGCAGGTACCAGGATTTCTATGCATTCGACCTCTCAGGAGCCACTCGAGTCCTTGAATGGATTGATGACAAAGGTGGTATACCTTCCTGGCCCTGAAGGAGAGGGAATTTCACTCCTGAGCTGGGTTTCAGGAGCTAAGCCTAGAGGGACCCAACCCACTCTTCTGGGCACCTGAGAGTCACTTGTAGCAATCTGATGCCCCATCAGCACTAATATTCCTTTTATTAAGATCTTTGACCGGGAGCAGTGGTTCACGCCTGTAATCCCAGCACTTTGGGAGGCCGAGGTGGGCAGATCACCTGAGGTCAGGAGTTTGAGACCAGTCTGGCCAACATGGTGAAACCCCGTCTCTACTAAAAATACAAAAATTAGCTGGGCGAGGTGGTGCACACATGTGCACCACCAGCTACTGGGGAGGCTGAGGCAGGAGAGTCACTTGAACCCAGGAGGTGGAGGTTGCAGTGAGCCAAGATCATGACACTGCATTCCAGTGTGGCTAACAGTGAGACTGTCTAAAAAAAAAAAAAAATCTTCAGGCTGGGCACTTCGGGAGGCTGAGGCAGCGGCAGCGGGCCAGGAGTTTGAGACCAACCTGAGCAAGGAAACCCTGTCTCTACAAAAATTACAAAAATTAGCCAAGCATGGTGGCCCACGCCTATAATGTCAGCTACTCTGAAGGCTGTGATGGGAGGATCGCTTGAGCCTGGGAGGTTGAGGCTGCAGTGAGCTGTGATCAGACCACTGCACTCCAGCCTGGCTGACCTGGTGAGACCTTGTCTGAAAAAAAAGAAAACCAGATACTCAATTCCTCCATACAAGGCTGCACACTGAAGGAATTTATCCTTACTTTGGGGGATTGGGTGGAGTTTATAGACCTATCCATGGTCTGCAATCTTTCTAACAATTTGTCACAGCTACTTCTGCTTCTTTTTCCAGGAGTCTTTGTTGCTGGCTATGAAAGCCTGAAAAAGAATGAAATTCTTCATCTGAAATTACCGCTCAGACTTTCTGTAAAGGAAAACAAGGTAACTTGAAATATAAATGCTGAGTATGTCGACTTTTATTTATTTATTAAATATTTGTGGTGCTCCTGTTATCTACCAGGTATTGTCCTGGATACTGGAAAGACAGCAAGCGCTAGGCCTGCCCTTTTAGTCTAATAGAGGGAGGCAGATATGCACAGAGATCAATGCTGTAGAATGTCTTGTGGTTTACAGAGGGCTATCAGAGGAAGAGGTGGGTTATACTTTATCAGAAATAGATTTAGGGAGCGATTAAGGATATAGAGGGCAGTTGAAGTGCTCAGAGTGGTTAAAGTCACCTAGTGAATGTGTGGTATGTAAGGAGTGAGGAGAATAAGGTGAGGACAGAAACTCAGGGAACACATTTAAGGGATGAGTACAGGAAGATGAACCCCCAAAGAATACTAAGAAAGAATAGCCTCTGAGGTAGGGGAATCTCAGAAAAGGTCAATGTTTCTGAAGCCAAGAGAAGAGAACTTCTCAAGAAGAAAAGAGTTAGTAGCTGTCTAGAATTCCAATAAAATCATTCAGATGAGGAATTGAAGGCCAGGCACAGTGGCTCACGCCTGTAATCCCAGCACTTTGGGAGGCCGAAGTTGGGCGGATCACAAGGTCAGGAGTTCGGGACCACCCTGACCAACATGGTGAAACCCCATCTCTACTAAAAATACAAAAATTAGCCAGGTGTGGTGGTGTGCGCCTGTAATCACAGCTACTCAGGAGGCTGAGGCAGGAGAATCGCTTGAACCTGGGAGGTGGAGGTTGTAGTGAGCTGAGATCGTGCCATTGCACTCCATCCTGGGCAGCAGAGCAAGACTCTATCTCAAAAACAAAACAAAACAAAAATCATTCAGATGAGGAATTGAAGAGTTCATTCATAAGACTGGCAATTGGGAAGCTCTTGGTGACCTCTGCTACAGGATTTTTGCTGGTGGTGGTTAGGCCCAAAGACTAAAAATGAAGAGGAAGCAGAGTCAGGAAATGTAGGGAGGGAAGAAGCTAAAGCAGCAACTAGTTGGAAACACAGATCTGAGGGAAGGTTTCCTAAACACAGAGGCTTGAGCAGAGTTACAAGTTGTGGGAAAGTAACCCTCGAAGAGGGAGAGGGTGAAAATGAGGGAATATCACAGGGAACATGCTCCTGCTTCCAGGAATAGAAGATGAGGATAGATCAGGAGTCCAGGGGATGCTATTAGTCATCAGAGGACAAGGGAGGAGTGAGGTATACAGGCAGATGACCTTGTAGGGCCACATAGGGGCAGGAATTGGAGTGTTTGCTCCTGAATTCCTTTTTGTTTGAGACAAGGGCTTGCTCTGTCACCCAGGCTGGAGTGCAGTGGTGCGATCCTGGCTCACTACAGCCTCAACCTCCCATGCTCAAGTGATCCTCCTGCCTCAGCCTCCCGAGTAGCTGGGACTAGAGGCATGCACCACCATGCTTGGCGAATTGTTAAATTTTTTTGTAGAGATGAGGTCTCGCAATGTTGGCCAGGCTGGTCTGGAACACCTGGCTTCAAGTGATCCACCTGCCTCGGCCTCCCAAAGTGCTGGGATTACTGGCATGAGCCATCACTTCTGGCCCCACATTTCTTTTTTTTTTTTTTTTTTTTTTTTTTGAGACAGGATCTCACTCTGTCACCTAGGCTGTAGTGCAGTGGCGTGATCTCAGCTCACTGCAACGTCTGCCTCCTGGGCTCAAGCCATCCTCCCACTTCAGGATCCCAAGTAGTTGGGACCACAGGCATGTGCCACCACACCAGGTTAGCTTTTGTATTTTTTGGTAGAGACAGAGTCTTGCCAGGTTACCCAGGCTGGTCTCAAACTCCTGAGCTCAAGCAATCCTCCTGCCTCCCAAAGTGCTGGGATTGCAGGTGTGAACCACTGCACCTGGCCTTTTTTGTTTTGTTTTTAAATTATTTAATGAAATAAGAAACAATCCGAGCGTGGTGACTCATGCCTGTAATCCCAGCACTTTGGGAGCAGGAGACTGAGGTGGGCAGATCACTTGAGGCCAGAAGTTCAAGACCAGCCTGGCCAACATGGTGAAATGCCATCTCTATTAAAAATAAAAAAAATTCGGCCAGGCGCATGGCTCACGCCTGTAATCCCAACACTTTGGGAGGCTGAGGCGGGCGGATCATGAGGTCAGGAGTTTGAGACCAGCCTGGCCAATATGGTGAAACCCCATCTCTACTAATAATACAAAAATTAGCTGGGTGTGGTGGCATGCCTGTAGTCCCAGCTACGTGGGAGGCTGAGGCAGAAGAATCGCTTGAACCCGGGAGGTGGAGGTGGCAGTGAGCCAAGATCACACCACTGCATCCAGCCTGGGTGACAGAGCGAGACTCCGTCTCAAAAAAAAGAGAAAAAAAAAATTAGCTGGGTGTGGTGGTATATGCCTTTAATCCCAGCTACTCAAGGGTGGCTGAGGCACCAGAGAATCCCTTAAACCCAGGAGGCAGAGGTTGCAGTAACCTGAGATGGCGCCACTG